TACCGTTACAATAAACGTGATGTTGGTCCTGGCGACACATTCCATTCTGACTTATGTGATTGCTCGTTGTTATATCATCTTTTCTATGTGAACTGGAAAGTTATCTACGGCGAAAAACTCACAACTATAATCCTTTTACCTACATTTCGGTAACATTTATATCTATACTATTTTATGGAATGGATCCGACAAAGCAGAGGGAGACCGAAATGGCCATTGCTAGCTTGTTAGCTGTCATCAGCCAGTCATACCCAATCCTAAGGGTTGGAACGCCCGAAATTCGAACCCGGGACCTTTGGTCATTGAGTTTAATACTCTACCTCGGCACCACGGGCTCGTTGCTTTGTCGGTTGAGATCAAGAATATGATGAATATATGTGCTTCGCCGATCTAGTAGATGAACAATTAAGTTCTTCTTTGCCCAGGAGCTCACAATTAGAATCCGCCAGGCAGTCACATGATTACTATGACGATTGGATGAAATGGATCCAGAGGCTCGACTGACTGACTGACGGAGTGGAGCTCAAATATTCAAATCAACTCTCAAGCTGCACTCATATTACCAGGGGATAGTTGCTTTAAACACTATGAACACTCGAAACCAGACCCCCAAATCGAAGGAACCACAAGATGACGTAATCCTGCCTACTTAAATCGTTTCAGTAAGCAGAATATAAGGTAGTACCAATGTGAAACTATAGGACCATTCGTCGCCAGTGGGTTTAATTTACAATAATTGCCAGCACTTGGCTTGCCGCTACAATCGTGCCTCAAAGCTTGCACTTACCCTTATTCTTCGCGGCCTCCAAAATCTGCTGACGGTGAAAGGGATTTTCGATGTGGCACGCCTCCTCGAGGTCTTTGTCGGACAACTTGGCGAGGCAAGGTCTAATTACACCTACAAGAAGTAGGCTATAGGTATACTGCGTTAAGTCGGCGTCCCAGAGACTTGAGTCACGCATGCAGTGATTGGAAGTATTGGCCGGATGTTCGGAGACGGCGGAAAGGAAATCAGCTAGCTCTGTTTCATCGATGGCAGAGTAGTCGGCTTTGCATTTTAGCCGCACCAATTCGCGAAGAAACCTAAAGGACCCAGCGGACTG